GTTTATTAAAGCTTAAAATTACACTAAGACTTACAGGACACTGTATATACAAAGTAGATGGAAGAGTGTCTCATATAGGAAAGCACTAGCAACTAGGGCAAATGGGTAAGGCCCCCTGTATTTGAGCTGAATCTTGAAGGAAGCCAGGGAAACAAAGAAATAGAGGTGACGAGGGAGAGCATTTCAGGCACTACAAAGGAATGGGGGCAGGAGACAGAGTGCAGTATGGAAGGAATAGCAAGTAGGCCATTATAGGTGAATTGTGGAGTCCACAGAGGACAAGAAAGTATAACACAAGAAACTATAGAAAGGGGCCAGGTCACTAAGAGCTTTAAAGCCAAAAAGAGGCATTTCTATTTTATTCTGAAGGTAAGAGGGAGACAGAGTTCTTTGAGGGGACTGGGGTGTTGACAGAGTCAGACCTACAACTTAGAAAAGTCACTCTGGCAGTTGAATAAAGAACTGATTTAAGTGAGAAGAGAAATGAGGCACAAAAACCAGTTAGGAGGTTACTACAATAGTCTAGACAAGAGGCAGTGAGGACCACTATGTGGTATAGGACTACAGAAATATTGTGAAGGTAGAAACAAGATTTAGCAATGAACTGGATATGAGTCAAAGATAACACTGAGTTCACACACCCTCTGAAATCTGCTCTCCCCAAATCTAGGTTTTCTTCTCTGTCACCAATTCCGTGATGAAATGGCCATTTTCCTCCAAGGTATCCATCAATTCTAGCACAGCTAGGTGGCACAGTGGATAGAACACTGGGCTTGAAGTCAGGAGTTCAAATCTGGACTCAGATAATTAATAGATGTGTGACTTTGGGCAAGTCACTTAACACTGTTTGCCTAATTTTCCTCATCTGTAAAAATGATCTAGGGAAGAAAATGGCAAACCACTTCAGTATCTTTGCCAAGAAAACCTCAAATGGGACCTCAAAGAGTAGGATGTGACTGAAAAACAACTGAACACCATCCATCGATTCTACCCTAGCAAACAGTTCCATTCTGTTTATGAGAACAGAATTCAAAAAACAAAATAAAACAAAATGTCCCCTGGGAGGTTCCTCCAACTTTTGACTGTTTGAACATTTGTCAGCAAGGTAATGTCATTCCTTTTTAGTATGCTGTCCAGATTTGCCATAGCTTTCTTTCCAAGGAGCAAATATATTTTGATTTCATGGCTGCAGCAGCTGTTGGCAGTGATCTTTGAACCCAAGAATATAAAATCCCACACTGCTTCCATTTCTTCTCCTTCTATTTGCTAGGAAGTTGATGGGAACAGTCACCAAGATATCAGATTTTTTTGATGTTAAACTTCAAGTCAGCTCTTACACGCCTCTCTTTCACCCTCATCAAGAGGTCCTAACTTCTCTTCACTTTTTACCATCAGAGTGGTATCATCTGTATATCTGAGATCGTTGATATTTCTCCTGGCAATCTTAATTCTGGCTTTTCATTCATCCAGTCTGACATTTCACATGATGTACTCTGCATAAAAGTTAAATAAATAAGGTGAATATACAACCATGTTGTGCTCCTTTTCAAATCAGTTGTTGCATGTTCAGTTCTAACTGTTGTTTCTTGGCCCATATACAGGTTCCTCAAGAGACAAATAAGATGATCTGGTAGTCCCATATCTTTGAGGATTTCCCACATTTTGCTGTGATCCCCGAAGTCAAAGGTAATTTGGTAATTTAGTCTCTAGTTCCTCTGCTTCTTTAAAAACAAGCCTGCTCTTCTGGAAATTCTCAGTTCACATATTACCCAGCTTGCACAATCTTAAGCATACTCTTGCTGGTGTTCGAAATGAGTGCAATTGTTAGATAATTTGAATATTCCTTGGGATTACCCTTCTTTAGGATTGAGACATAAACTGATCTTTTGCCATCCAACGGCCACTGTTGTTTTCCTAATTTGCCAGCATATTGAACACAGCAGTTTTAACGGCATTATATTTTAGAATTTTAAATAGCTCAGCTGGAATTCCATCACCACCACTAGTCTTATTGTTAGCAATACTTCCTAAGGCCCACTTGACTTCACTTCCCAGGATGTCTGGCTCTAGATCAATAATTAAATCGTCACGGTTACTGGTAATGTTAAGATCTTTCTTGCATATTTCTTCTGTGTATTCTTGCCACCTCTTCTTAATCTCTTCTGTTTCTGTTAAATCCCTAACATTTTTTGTTTTATCCTGTCCATTTTTGCATGAAATTTTTCCTTGATATTTCAAATTTTCTTGAAGAGATGTTGTCTTTCCCATTCTATTGTTTTCTTCTATTTCTTTGTATTGCTCATTTAAGAAAACCTCATCTCTCCTTTCTATTGTCTGAAATTCTGCATTCAGTTGGATATAATCAGAAAATAAGTTTTAAAAAAAAGAAAAAAGGTCCCTTAGTAGTAGTCTAAATTTAAAAATCCAGAGATACTAAAATTCATGAATTTCAGAATTAGAGGTGAGTACACAAACCCTAATTCAGGACTTTTGTATTTTATATTCAATTCTAAACAAGTGTCCTTGGCTAGGTCGGTAGCAAATAAACTACAAATTGGAAGTCAAGTTAACAAGCATTTATTAAGCACCTACAAAGTGCCAGGTACGATGCTAGGTGCTAGAGATAAAAAGAAATGCAAAAAATAGCCTCTGGAGCTCAAATTTTAATGGGGGAGACAACTTGCAAATAACTTTGTACAAAGACTACATACTGGATAAAGTGGAGAAAATAACAAAGAGATGGCACAAGCACTAAGGGGAATAAAGAAGTTCTATCACCGAGGCACACTGATGTCAGCAAAAGATGACAAGGGGTATAAAAAAGCTATAAAGAAAACAGCAATTTATTGCTATGGCATCACCATATAAATAACTGATGCTCATTATGATCATATTAATTCATCCAAAAATGTTAAATTATGTAAGTCAGTATAGGTAAAGGAAATAGAAGCTAAACTTCCCGTGTGACCGTGGAAAAAAATTTTTTTTTTATTTCTCTGGGCCTCAGTTTTTTCTAGATTACCCTTAAAGAGCCCTTCAAAGCTCTGCAACCTATAAGTGTATGATCCACTGCCACTCTGAAATTGATGTGTTCTTGACAAAGTCATTTACCTTCTCTGAGGCTCAGTCTCATGCATAAAATAAATGTATTGGACCAGATATCTAAAATCCCTTCCAGTTCTAAGATATAAAACTCTTCCATTAAAACCAGGCCCCACTCCAAAGCAAACTCAAAAAAGGTAATTAAAGGGTACTGATAAAACAAAACTCAAAAGCAACTACACTACCGAAAAGCCCATTTCAAAAGAACATACCAACTCAGTAAGCAACATAAATCAATCCTACCACCTACTTAGCTGGCATAAGATGAAATTTAATAATCTTCAATAATAAAGTCTCATCTCTAGCAAAGAACCAGAAATAGAGAAAGTATCATGAAGGTTTAAGGAATAGCACTCTCTTCTCTCTTGATCATCAATAAGGCAGAATGCCACAGATTTTTTTTTTCAAAATACACACACAGAGGACAATTTCCAAGATCTGGAATACTGACCTTACACAGTGACTGAATTTCAGCTTCACAGGATCATGGTTCACAGATTTAGAGCTAAAAAAGGACCTCAGAAGCCCATCTAATCACAAATTTAGACCTGGAGGGGCCCTTGGAAGGCCCTCTAATCATATATTTAGAACTGGAAGGAAACTCAGAGGTAATCAAAGTCCAACTCATTCTACTGAGGAGAAAAATGAGGCCAGAAAAGTAAAGTGACTTGATCAAGGAAATAAAAGTGACAGGACTCTTCTGTCCTACAGAGTACTCTAAATCACAGGTGTCAAATATGAGTCCCCAATAAAACTCCACTTCCCACTTGGGAGTGGGGCCAAACCATATTAAAATGTGACTGAGAAATATTTAACAAAATAAATATACGATAGAATATAGATAATGGCAATATGGGGTTTTCTAAGTCAATATTCAGCCTGCAGGGATCCTTTTTTTAAATCATATTTTCATTTATCTTGTTAATATTCCCAATTACATTTTAAAATTTATTATTTTTTCGTTCTTTTTTTAAAAATTTTGAGTTCCAAATCCTCTTCCTTCCTCCAGCTTCTCCTCCACCTGAGAAGGCAAGCAACATATCAGTTATACACGTGAAGTCATGCAAAACATATTTCCCTATTAGCCATGATGCAAATAAATAAATGAATGAAGCAAGAAAAATAAAGTGAAAAAAGTGTGCTTCCATGCTAGGTTCTTTTTGTACAGTTTAGTGGTCCCCCCTTTCTATTTGACAGCAATGCTCTAAATCTCCATTTCTGTTTGTCCCTGATTTATCCAGAACATTCCTGGGTACAATTAGTTCATTGATCCCCAAAAGTTGCAGCATCCTATGTGGCGTGTCCTGTGCTACATAATGCACCAACTTCAAGCCATCTCTTCTTGCTTTCCACCTGTTTCACTTAAGTCCCTGTATAAGTATTTAATAAATGTTTGTGAAATGGTTATCCTATAGTCAGAGGGCCCCTTGATTAAGGCACACTTTCGCTAACCCAGAGCTGTCAGAAGGTGGCACTGGATCTCAGCAGGTTCCCAGGACGAAGAAGAAGTATGCCTTCACCCGGAGATGAGACAACTCCGGGGAAAGCGGGGAGCAGAGAAAGCCCCGCGGGTGCACAACCTTGAAGGGGAGAAGGGAGTAAGCGGATGAGCAACAGGTACCGGGACCACCAGGGCAACGAATGGGTTCGTTTTTACCAAAAGGGGAAACTGAGGCCCAGAGAAGGAGTCAGTGACGCCTCAGGGCTGCAGCCAGAAAGAGGTCCAGGGCGCTCGTCTACCTGACTGACAGCGCCCGGAGGGAGCGAGGCCTGTCCGAGCTGGCCCGGGAGGCCGAACTCTAGCCGCGAGCCCCGGAGCACTTGGAGCAGAGGGAGGGAGGGAGGGGGGACCCCGAGTCCCAGGGCGCCGCAGGCTCCCCCTTCCCGCCCTCACTCACCGTGGCTGGTGAAGTAGAACACCATGATGCCGGCGCCGGCGGCGGCTCCGCCTCGAGCCGCGCTCGGCTCCGAGGTAAGGGCTCAGAGCGGCGGCCAGAAAGCAGAACCAAGTTCCTCCGTCAGTCAATCTGTATCTCCGCCGGAACTTTTCTCCAGGCCCCGCCCCTCCGACAGACACTTCCTGTTTACGCCACCGCGTAACGTCATAACGTCGATGCCGCCATCTTAGTAACTGGCACGTTAGCGGCGCTCCTGTAGGGTCTCCACGTGGCTTTGGTACCTCGGAGTTATTGGTTTGGGTAGAAACTGGGTAGGATTTATATGTAGCGGGTGTGTAGGGGAGGCTTGCACCCGGTGAAGACTCCTAAAACTAATTTTCTCCATTAAGGTAGGTTCAATTCGGCAAGGCAGGAACAGGGCAGTCCAATTCACTTAAATTCAACAGGCGTTTATTGGAAGCTGGAATGCAAAAAAAAATAGTAATTCCTGCCCGAAAGGCTTTTAACTACTTAGAATGTAAACCCTTTGAGAGCAAGCGCTGTTTCCTTTTTAGTTTTGTATCTCTAATATTTTGCACACAGCAAGTTGGAACTAGATCTTTAATTGCACCAGTGCAGGGAACTTCCAGGGAGGAAACGACTTTTACTAATGACGGTGGGCACAATCTCTTCTGCTTACAGCCAGTTTCGGGGAGCTGCCTTCTGGGACCCAGAGGTCCTTAACATGAACACCCGTGTGTCACCGAGTCAGGTCTTGAACCCAGATCTCCCTGAGACCCGGAGACTGGCTCTAGATCCCCTACCCCGCTATATCAAGCTTGGTAGGAGCACAATAAATGTCATTGCTTAAATGACAGTAGTTCAAGGAGGACGGGAAAGGCAGGGGAACAAGAAGCATACAAAGTAAAATACAAAGTAATTTTTGGAGGATGGGGGGATGTATTGACACCGTGAAAAGATACGAGGAAAACCTCTTGTAGGAAGTGGCTTTGTAGGAGGTGAGCCTTGGAGGCTTGAATGGCGCTGAGGAAGCCTTTCATTCCAGGCGTGGGGCGGGGCGGGGCGTGGAGTTGGGAGGTGGACTGGTCTGCCTAAGGAGATTATGAAGTAGTCTAGTTTGGCGTAGAGGTGGGTAAAACTGTGTCATGTGAAATCAAGTAACACTCATTGTTCTTAAACTGGGGTCCAGAGACCTGTAAAACTGCATCATTAATTTTTTTTTAAATATTTTTATTGGTATCTTTTTTTTAACGTCACCAGAATTTCTCACACTAGCAATCCTCCCAGAGAGCCAACAGATAATATATTTTAAAGAAAGAAAAAAGAAGAGGAAAAACAAAACCAGCAAATCAATACATTATAAAAATCTGAAAGTCTATGTGATGTTCTACATCTGTGTACCTCCCACCAGTGCAAAGAAGTGCGTGGGTGGGTGGGTGGGTGTCTTTCTACATCTCTTTGGAGTCCCTATTTGTTCTTTGTAATTTTGCAACATTCACTTTTGATTATTTTGTGTTTATTTACATTTTTGTCCTCTTTGTGAATATTGTTTTCTTGGCCCTGTTTACTTAACTGCATTAGATCATGTATGTCTTTCCACACTTATCTATATTCAACATATTTCTCCTTTCTTACAACACAATATTCTATTGCATTTGTTAGCCATTCCTCAGTCAATGGGCATCTACTTACTTAATTTCTTAATTACTTAATTTCTCAATTAAATACAATTCACTTGAAAGTCAAGACATCATCCTAGTGATGTTATTGGTCATCTCTCGGAAGGATGAACAACATTTATATTTTCATCTATTTTTGGATTCCTTTGTAATTCTATGTATTATATTTTATGAATTTTTAAAATATTATTCTTAGGAAGGTTTCACCAGACTCCTAAAGGCATCCATAACACAAAAATAGTTAAGAACCCCTGTTCTACAGAGTAGATGCTTTGAGGATAACAATATTATCTCTGTGAAGCCCCTGAATATTGTGTCAGACAGGCCGGCAGCTGGCGTGTGGTGACCATATTTTCTAAAACATTTTTTTTTTGGACCAGAGTTGTGATTAACTCCCAACCAAGAGAGGAAAACAAGGAAACTCCCTTCCAACCGATAAACCGTAGACTTTTAGGTTTGGATAGAAAAACTATCTAATCTGAACCTTTATAAATATCTAATCTTTATGAAGAAGGAAAGGAAGTTCTAAAAAGATGAAGTGGTGAAACTGATGGGGTGCTTGGGTGCTTGTACTCGGACCCACTTGCAAGATTATATTTCTCCCTAGCCTCAGAAACACTATCCCTGACAGTTTCCCTCCAGCCCGAGGACCCTATCTCTGGCAGTGACTCATCAGTGGGCCCAGTGAGGCAAACTATCTCTCCCTGTTACAAGAACAAGCTGACCTCTGTAGAATTTCCCTTGTATGAACAGGACTGTCTTGTACCAGCAGAACTATCAAATACTGATGCCCACAGTTACCTTATACAATCCAGAGGTCAAGCTGTAGACATTAATTCCTGAAACTATCTTGTTACAGACACAACAGACCAAAAATATACCCCTTAGGAAACCAGGGGGCTCCCCATTTTCAGTAGTGAATGAAGCCTATGACCAAAATTGTATGTTATCACCTAATTAGCATACTTGCCACATAATCCACTATTTTTCCTATATAAACTTTAGCATCATTCCTATTAGGTTGCAAGCTCCCTCAGGAGCTGTGCCCACCATGGCAGAATTCCTTAAGGACCTCTCCTTGCTATATAGCATAACAATAAATCTTTGCCACCTTGACTCAAAGAATGCTTGAGTCTGTGAATTCATTCCAGACCATCCCGTCCAATACTCTGATCCTTGAGGGATTGAAATCTCTCAGACCTCAACATTTATGGTGCCCAACATGGGGCCTGTCTGAAGTCTTAGGCATTCTCTGAGTTAAGGTAAGTCTCCCGCTCCCCTCCACCAGTAGTTGGGTCACCCCACAAGCACCTAGGAAGGTTTGTTGGTCCTTTGGGTAGAGCCTGCAACAGGCTCTGGCAGAATTCTCTCTTGACAAGGGACACCTTGTTTTGGGAACACCTTCGTATTGGCAACAAAACCAGTGTTTGAATGCCGGTATTTTTTAACTTCAAATACAATTTTTTTACTGTCTGACTCTTCATGACCCCCTTGAGGTTTTCTTGGCGAGGATACTGGAATGCTTTGCCATTTCCTTCTCCTCCTCATTTTACAGATGAGGAGACTGAGGCAAACAGGGTTAAATGACTTGCCCAGAGTTACTCAGCTAGTGTCTGAGGTCAGATTTGAACTCAGGAAGATGTCTTCCTAATTCCAAGCCCAGTGCTCTATCCATTTCGACACCTAGCTGCCAATTAATTCAAGAGTACTACCTTAATAGTATAATACTTCGACTTCCTTTTATAGAAGTCAAGACTGCCTAAAAAATCCATAGTATATTATTCCCCTAACTTTAACAAATATTAATTACACAGTTCCAGACTCTACTTAAGGAGACAAAAACATCAGAAGCCAGACGTGCTACGAGAAAGCCAGGTCCTCAATATGTCCCTGATTTCCAGTTTGTTTCCTTAGAGACTTTGGGAAATTTCCCTTTGGGTTAGATCAAGGCTTCCCTATCTTGATTGAGCTGAAATTTCTTACTTTCAGCTAAAGAGCTCATTTGGTCTTGTGTTTGTATATTCTAATATGCATAACTTTTCTGATTTCTGTTTGGGATCTGGATAAATAGGTTTACTTACTACTCATTATTTGGAATGGTCTTTTCTATAATTAGCATTTGGTGGGAAGGGTCAAGATTTCAGATGTGAGGGGGCAGCTAGGTGTCCAAGTGGATAGAGCTTGGGTCTTAGAGTCAGGAGGACTTGAGTTCAAATCCATCCTCAGACTCTTGACACTTACTAGCTGTGTGACCTGGGGCAAGTCACTTAATCCTGATCGCCTTAGCAAAAAACAGAACAAAACAAAAAAAAAAGAATTCAGATGTAAGCTTAAGATGCTTCTTTCTTTTTAAAGAAGAATGACCACAAAAGTGGCTAGAACCTAAGAAAAAAAATCATTCCTCTAAACTAACAATATTTAGGCCATTGTTGGGGAAGGGGTAGAATAGTGGAGATAAATATAACTCTAGTCCAGTACTTCTCTGAGACCAGAGGGGCGAGTCTTTGGCTATTCTCCCTTCTCACCAAGAATCAAAGTATATCTTGGAGAGGAATGGGCAGGATTCCCAAAATATCTCTCGAGTAAATCCTCTTCCCAAGCCCCCAACAACAAAAAGAAAATGTGGACATAGACTTTCATGAGCAATGTACACTCCCTACATCCATATGCTTCAGACAACTCCCTGTCTTCATCAAGTTACAGATATGTGGTCCTTTGGTGGAAGAACTCCCCATACTGACACTCAGTTCCTTCCCTTATCCTTTAGTATTATGAAACAAAGACAGTCTCACGTGAACTCTCAATAGAGAATTATTTTGTAAATTTGGAATAATACTTGTACTACCTCCCTGATAGGATCATTGTCAGTCAATCAATGAAGTAAGTGCTTGCTGTGAGCTGGGTGACTCAAAAGAAAGATACTCAAAGCGTTCACAATCTAATAGAGACAGCATGCAAATTACTATGTACAAATAAGCCATATACAGGAGTTGATTATTATTGGAAATAATAGATAGAAAGTACTAGAACTAAGGGGTATTGGGAAAGGCTTCCTGTAAAAGGTGGGACTTCAGGGAAATTGGGAAATGGAAATGAGGAAAAGCCAATGAAAATACTTGGAGTCTTGGAGAGGCCGCACTGGATGGAAGGGTAGGAGGTTATGTTGGGTGTAAGATGTAAGAAAACTGTAAGTTGGGAGGGGGGGGAGTGATATGAAGGCTTTGAATGCCAGAGGATTTTATATTTGATCCTGGAGGTGATAGAGAGCATGGAGAGTTTATTGAGTACATTAAGCAATATCTCTGCATGTGCACTGAAGTTTATTTAGTATATTAAGCACAGTATTTCTAGTCAAAGAATCTGAGTTTGAATCCTGGCTATGACTTGTGAGACCTTAGGTGGTCACTTACTTTTCCTGAACC